TGCTACAACTTAGTACAGAATTAAAATGATTTTAAAAGGATGTAAAAACTAAACATCACTGTATGCTACTGCAACCTTAAAGCACTAGAACATCTAGATGACATAAGATTTGCAAGAGTGCAAGCCTTATTCTCATACAGTACTGAATACCCATGTTATATTATGGGCCTTCTCAGCTGTAGCTGAAAAATACAGATAATTCTTTATTAATAATTAGGCCTAAATTATTACAAAGCCCCCACAGCTGTGTATGCAATTGGGTAGCTACAGAGATATTAAATAAATTAACTACAGTCAATGTCATCATTGTAAATACTGAGCGTTTATTAAGGATAAAAATTTTATTAAGGAGATCTAATTTTAATACATTTTTTTATGAACAATACTAGAAGTTTTATTTGTATATTGCCTGAACAATGATAGAATCCATGGTGACAGATATCTTGTCACAGACTTTTTTAATGAATATGAGCTTATATTACAGTACAAATGCAGAAGATTTAGACCTTTTAGCTGCTATCTTAGGAAGGAATTAAAAAAAGAGAAATACTGAAAAGAGGAATAAATGACTAAGAAAAGGTGAGAGATTAATATAAGAGAAAAATATTCATAGGAAAGAAATTAGATGCAGAAATTTCCAAATTTTGGAAGGCTTGTAATATCAGGATAAAAATTTGAATGTAGCCTAATAGGAAAAGGAAGCCAGGAGTTAGAAACAAATCGTGTAAGTAATTTGGACAGATTCCAAAGAGATGATCATGGGGATCTTTTTACACAGAATTATAGTACTCAATGCAACAACTTATTGAGTCTTGACAGGACTTTGCACAATGGGAATTCAAAGATGTGGATTTTGGAGATAATGTAAAAATGAAATTGGTGTGTGCTGCAGGCCAGAAAGGAGGGAGCAAAAGGAAACAAAGTAGAAAACATGCTGGGACTGCAGCATTGACTAGTGTAGATGCTAAAGGAACTGATGATGAAGTGAGGATATAGAGAAAGAATTTAAGTTACTTGAGAAGAAAGGTGATCTACAGAGATACTGGTCAGGCAGATGAAGATGCAAGGTAGACTTGGGTGGAGAACTGATGACCTTGAAGTGATCTTCAAGAACTATTACCTGTCGAAGACTTACGTTAAATTAGGTAGTGCAAGCGAAAAGCATGTGCAGAAATGGGGCAAGAAACACAAGCAAAAGGGCCTCATCATAAAGTTACTAAGTAAACCCAAGAGATAGTCCCTGCTTGTCTTCTTCCCGTGACTTGCTCTATTAGGAGAATAGTGATTGTGACAAAGCAAAAAGGCACATAAGGAAACTTAGGAATCTAAAAGAGACTAAAGATGAGAGTTTTCAGAGAGCTTATTACAAGTTCCAGTGCTGAAAGGCTGAATCATTTTTATTTAAGCAGGTCCAGAACAGAGTTTTTCTTGCAGTTCAGTTTCCACTTTCAACTGGCCTTGTCAGCAAATAAGTGGTTTGGAGCATAAGTTGTGCAATATTATATCTACCGTCCTGATCAGACTGCACAGTTGCAAGACATTCAACTAGCCTTGAAGAGTCAAAAATACTTTTCAAATACATTTTTTTTTTTTTTTTTTTTTTTTTAAAGATATATTAATGGTCAAAATCTGACATAGATATTACAGGACATAAAGTAAGTTGTTGACAAAATAAATGTGCTCACAGATCTTGTATATTCTAATGTTTATCGTGACAAAGTGCAGGCCTAATGCCTCTGTGCATTGTGTTATAATTGGACAAGACCTTCCCTAGGAAGGTACTTTCCCTAAGAAGACAGACAGTTTAGGAGACCCCATACTCTGACATAAAATGAAGTTCTGCATAAAGAATGACAGGAACATGATTAAGATCAGAAGAACAGCCAGGTTAAATCGATTGCTGGTCTAACCACAATCAACAGGTGGGACATTACAGCCATCGGCCTGCCCTGATCTTTAATGGAACAGCTGTAGAGTCCTCAAACAGGAAATGCATTCTGAAAGACAAAGTTTTCCTAATTTGGGATTTACTTTCAGGCACTTCAATTACTGCACTTTGCCTGCAGCAGCAATTTCTAGCAAGAATACTTAGTTTTCACTAGGCTCCCATTAAGTCGAGTTGCTCTGGAGTTTCTACATGTTCTACAAAGTTCTGCTTTTAGGTTTTGACAGATAAGTAAAGAAAGACATGTACATTTATTTGGTTTTGTTTTTGTTTTTTTAATCTGTTTGGTACATGTAGACCTAAACCATTCAAGCTTTACTCCTGGAGGTACTTGGAAACAGCATAGTTAATACAAAAAAAAACCCAAAAACCAAAAAAAAGGGGGGGGGGGGGGGGGGGGAGGGAAAAAAACAACAAAAAAAAACAAACACCCAAAAAATAACAAAACCAAGTACTTTGCAATCTCTACTCTTCTTCACTTTCTGATGCTTCAGAGAAAGTTAAGTCTTTGGGAAACCTGATATTTCATGGCAGAATACTTCACAACTGACTTCAAAAAGTGCTTTTTAAAAATACCACTGATTTCTGTATGAATACCACTTAACCATGTGGCTAATGAACGAACACACAGATTACCCACACTGGTACTCAGAGCTTCCCAGATTTGGCAATTTTAACAGATCCATTACTCTAAGTAGAATAGTTCTGCAGCAGAAATGAAAGCTGTTGTCTCACTTCGAACAAAATACTTCAGACTACTGCAAAACTGACACACTTCAATGCCCACAGTTTACTTGTTAAATTTAAAAGTTAAGCAAAAGATCTTCACATTTATGTAGCATTCACATCTTTATGTCCTTCATTCATTGTGCTCAGCTGAACAACCATTTTCAACTGTGTTTATGTATAATGAAGCAAAATGCTGAGAGGAACATTTAAAAATATGTCATAAATAATTTCATCATCATTTTTATTCCGAAAATGCAGAGTATGTCCAATGATTTAATGGGGCTGTGCTGTCTATAGAGGAATGCACCTCTGAGAGTACTTTGTCTCATCATTGCCTAAACATTACAAGGGGTTTTACAATTTCTGCCACTTCACAAAAGCAATGAATATGGAACTGGACTATTAACACTTTAAACAGACATGAAATCAGATGCAGCATTTTAGGGACATGGTTTAGTGGGCATGGTGGTGATGGGTTGGCAGTTTGACTAGGCGATCTTAGCGATCTTTACCAAACTTAATGATTCTGTGATTCTATCAAAATCTCTAAACAAATTCTTCTGATTTCTTTCCAGGTTTTACTGACAGCCTTGTTGAAGAAGTTCAAGATTTGCACACTAAAGAACAGAGATCAGATCACTGGTCAACCCTTTAGCTCAGCAGGAGTGTTTGAAGCCTCTCATTTAAATTCTCAGATGAAAATGTCTGAGTTTTAGGAAGCTGATGGATTATAGCCCATTCTTAAAAGCTTATTTTCAAGAAGATGTGCCAAAAACAAACACCAAAAACAAACAAACAAAAACCACCAGACATCAAGCATGCTGCCCGCTAATGGATTTCCATGTCTGGCTCAGCCTACTCCTTCTAACCTGAAATGTATGAAATCCAAGAGAAGTCTGGAGATGCTCAAGGCCAGGTCCTGGGATGAGGTCCTGGGCAGCCTGATTTAGTGGTTGGCAACTATGCCCACGGTAGGGGGACTGGACCTTGGTCTGTAAGATCCCTTCCAACCCAAACCATTCTGATTCCATGATAAGAGAAGGTCATATAGCCAACTGCTGTACTGCTGCAACACTATGAACTGGGGTTCAGCAAAAGAACAAGTAACAGAACACTTCATATATTAACTTCAACTCTTAACTTTTAGTAATGTTACAGCTGTGTTATTGATGCTATTGGTGCTGTAATTCATTTCTGAAAGAAAAGCTGCATTAAATAGTGAAGAAAAACAACTATCCTAAATATGTTTTAGTGTTAACCATGCACTAATAAGTACAGTGCATTTGGCTTTACAGTACAAATTCACAGAAGTAATAAAGTAGGTTTTAAATAAAATAGGTCTTAAAACACCTCATTTCCTAAAACATTTCCTAAAATGTGATATGTCACAAGTTGTCTGCTGCCTTTGCTGTCATAAAACCCCTTAGAATCCCTGCACCAAGGAAATGGCAACAGGTGGCCTGGGCAGACGGTGCTGCCCAGAACAGGTGTCTCTCTCCTTTGATGGAGAAACATAAAACTTGTCATGGGTGCTGCAGAAGACCGACGTCCAGAACCAAAAGAACCAGGGCCAAAGTCAAACTCCATGATCTGACATAGCAACAAGGCAAAGTTTCAAACACTTAAGCATCTGTGGATCTTAAGCATCAGCTCTCTCAACGACTTTCAGACGCTTAAAGTGAGTAAATAAATAGATAGGTAAACAAATAACCGGACCCTTCAGGGAACCTGCTGCTCTCTTCCTTCGGACCGGCCGGCAGCACTGAGGGGGACGGTAACGCCCGCCACTTTGGGCAGGAACAGCCGCCATCTCACAGCCGGGGCTGGCAACGGTACAGGCGGCCCCAACCCAGCGCCAGGATGCGCGTCCCATCCCGCTGGTGTTACCTGTTCTTGAGGAAATACTCCTCCCGCAGCCGCGAGAGCCTCGCCTCCAGCCGAACCAGCGCGGCCATGCTCCCCCCGCCCTTCCGACGCCACAGCCGCCATGGCAACGGGGCCGCACCACTCTGCAAGCCCGCGGGGAGGAGCGGCGTATCCCGCGGCGCTGCTGGCCAGGAGCGGAGGACGCGAGGACGGCGGGAGCGCCGCGGCGCGGGAGCCGTGAGGGACCGTAAGCACGGCGCGGGCTGCGGGAGGGCGCGTGCGGCGGTGCGGACGGAGAGGGGGAGAGACGAGATGGTCGCGGCCGCCTTCCTGCCGCAGCCGCGGCCGCTTCCGGGCTCTCATCATGGGGGACTGAGGAGCAGCGCCGGTCGCCCGCGTCCTCCCCGTCCGGCCCTCGCCGCCAGCCCCCAACCCCGTGGCGGCTCCCCTCGGCTCAGTCTCTGCGAAGCGGCGCCAGCCTCCCTGGGGAGCGGCCGGGGCAGGCGCCGGGTTCATGTTCCGGGTCGCCGAGCCCAACCCGACCCGAGCTCCGGCAGCGAGGAAGAGCTGGTGAGGCCGGGCCGCGGGCGGCGGGGTCGCCGCTTGGGTGGGAGGGGAAGCGCCGAGGGAGAGCCGTCGGGTATGCCGGGTATTGCGCTCAGCGCCGGGTCTGGGGTGCCCCGGGCTCGGCCTATGTCCAGCCTCAGCGGGGATTTGTTTTTCACCATGGCACGCCTGCCGAACGCCTCACCTCTCAGTGTAGGCTGCCGAGACGTCTCGTCCATCGAGGTGCGGATGCTCTTCTGGGGCCGTCTTGATTCAAACCGAGAATCAACAAGTGTGGCTTTGGCCAGTGGCCAACCACAGCAGGTGAAGCTACGGTGTGGTTCACGGGTTGTTTGTTTCCAGATGCTAGGGCAGCACAGAGCAACAAAAAGCAACAAAGCTGTGAAGGGTTTAGAGCACAAATCTTTTGGGGAGTGACTGAAGAAACTGCAATTGTTCAGTCTGGGGAAGACTTTGCTATCTACAACTGCCTGAAAGGAGGTTGTGGTGAGGTGCGGGTTGGCCTTTCCTGCTGGGTAGCAGCTACTGGATGAGAGGGAACAGCCTCAGGTTGCACCAGGGGAGGATCAGGTTGAATATTAGGAAATATTTCTTCTCAAAAAAGAGTAATAAAGCACTGACGCAGCTGCCCAGGAGGTGGTGGAGTCACCGTCCCTGGAGGTGCTGAAGAAATGTGTGGATTTAGCACTGAGGGACATGGTTAGTGGGCATGGTCGGGGTAGTTGGAGTAGGTGACCTTAGTGATCTTTCCAGCTTAATGATTCTCTGAATCTTTATTAGCGCAGTGATTCCATCTCTATTATTACATCTCTAGTAGTACAGTGGTAACTCTGTAGCAGAAGACAGAAGAGTGAGTTTTATTAACAGGCGATGGAAATTAAAAGGCTGTTTGAGGGGAGCCCTGATGAAGGATCACAGTTTTGGAAACCAGGTTCCGTTTCCTTCACAACCAGCTTGTTTTAATCTCTTGCACAGTATTTTTAGTGTTTTATGTACAACTCATGGGGAACTTACAGTTGATTTCATTTTCACTAATGGGAGTGGAGAGGTGTGTGATGAGTTTTGGTTTTGTTATTTGGTTTGTTAGTTTTGTTTTTCTTGAATGTTGATGACTCCAGGCCTGGCTTGAGTCTTGGCTACTTTTTCTAGAGAGAGTTTCTGTATACAAACATCTGCAGTTAGAGTTCCCAGAGCTTCAACAAATTTGCCCTTATCATTGTCTTTGTTTCTTATATGGGCATGGGGAAGAAGGGAAAGATTGGTTTAGCACTTAATTTTTTTAATGTAGCAAACTCCACCACTTCATGTGATAGCATCACTTTTTTTTCCTGGGAGTATTTTCATGCCTCTCACATTTTTATAGGAGAGAAGGCTTTCTAATTATGATTGTACTTGCCTGGATAGCATATAGTTCTAGAAAACTTAAGACTAGTGATATTAGTATATGTATTTGCCTATTCTAACTTCTGTTGATATAGTGTGTAACACTTCAGAAAATGGGGTGTGTTTTTCTGGCAAAACTATATTTATTCTATACTAAAGCTGTATGTAGCAGAAACATGGCTTAAGACCTTCCTAACTTGTATCTTTACTATGAAAAAGTTTTCATTATAAAGTAGTCAACCTGTCATTTGTCTTTAAGTTTTATTCTTTTCTGTCCATGTAAAGTAATTTAGTTCCTGAGGCTTTAAAATCAATGTTCAGCAAAACAGGCTATGGGATTTTGACATATACTCCTGTAGTTATCCTCAGACAGCAATGACTTTGCTTGTCCAAATACACTACCCAGAGAAACTCAGTACTGAGAGAGTTATTGATGCCTTGTAATTTATAGGACTGTTAGTTTAGTAGTTCTGAAGGGAGATCCATTTAAAAATTCTAACAGTCCCTCGGAGTTGCACTTTTCTTATCCTTGTTCTGTAAGCTGTCGTTTAAAAGAAGCCTGTTTGATTGAAATGTAGCGAGGTATTTTTTCAACGCATAATACTTAATGTAGAAAATAAAGAACTTGATCTTAGTAAAAATGTTAAAAAAGCTGACAATTTCTGAACTGCCGTAGAGTAGAATTGTTCATATCTACTTTGAAGCCAAAGGTTTTTCGTTTTTTCCTACAAGCACCTATGACAACTCAGGAATAGTTTGCAATTTGGATACTTACTGGGCACTCTGATTCTTCCAGCAATGACTTTGATGGTACAGTGTATTATCACCATTTGACAGTTCATGTGATTCTCCACCTTGACAATTAATTAATGAAGTCATACATCTGAAAAGGGCAAGCATATCAGTAAATGGCAGCAATAGTATTGCAAGAATTGCTACCTCTCATGATAAATTGCCCCAAATCTCATTTCTGGCTGACCAATTCATTTGTGTTAGAGTGTTATTAAATGTCAGCATCTTTCTGACTGTATACCATTGCTCAGTACTGAATACTTCTTCACTGTTAGATATGAGTGGAGAATGTTGTTAAAAAGGCTTGAGAGTATTTGTTGTTGCTCTTTCTTAGGTAAGTAGCAATTGTAGGAAAGCCAGAGGAACTAGATACAGGTTTGTCTGGCCTTAATTTTTAGGGGGACCAGCGGCATAATCAGCTGATGAAATTCCATCATTACTCATATGCTAATAACTTTCTCTTGTGTAGGTCAAATGTAGGGGAATTCCTAAACCACATCTAAAGTATTTTCTCAAATGCAAAGTCAGGACTGAGAATTGACTTTTAATGTGTAACTTGGGGAATAAAATGTTGTTCGTACAGATAACCATCCAGAAGCCATGTATTTGATATCAAAACTAGTTCACTGAAAATTCCAGCGAGTGTAGTAAGTGTACGGCTGTAAATGTAGAACTATGACTTAAGTAAAATTTCATTTTTTTGAGGCCCTTCTGCACTTCTGATTGTGAAACTGATTTATATAATGCAAACACGCATCTTCCTACAGAAAGAGAGTTTCTGTACCTCAAAGATAAACTGTAGCCAGGGATTTGGGGCTTGTTTTTCTTTTTTTAGACATAGGTGTGCATCAGTGCAGTGTCCTGACTTGTCTCAAGCATTCTTGATTTTGTACCTGTTCACAATTTCTTATGCGAAACTCAGAATAATTGTTTTCTGAGGCATAATTTTTGTAAGTTTGTTTTGACATTTTCAGATTTTAAAAAATTTACTAAAATGAAAGTTACATTTGAGTTTCTTTGGTCTGCACATCAATTTTACTCTGAATTTCCTGGCTCTTAGTCTTCACAGGAAGCACTGGGCCAGATTCTTAGAAGTGGAGGAGTACAGGATTCTCTGTTGCTTGACTGCTAGCTGCTCTGACTGTGATGGTTGTTGCTACAAGAGTGGGGTGCATTTGGGTCATTGTGTAACTTTGGCAAACCTGTGTGCGCTGTGGAGAGCACATAAAGACGTAGCTAGACGCAGATATGGACTGTATGCTCTGGGTCCTCCTCTTGGGGATGGCCATTTGGTGGCTGGTGAGTTTAAATAATGGAAGCCTGACTTCTGTTTCTTCTATATACAGTAAGTGTATTTACCATAATATATTTAAAAAAAAAGAAAGTCGGTTATTTCCTTGCCTGCTACAGTATCTTATTAGCTGTTTACTATTTTAAACTTAGTTATGTTGCTCTGATATGGTTTCTGCTTCATGCTTATCCCTAGAACAGTGATAGTTCTTCAGAATCAGTAAATTCTCTTGACAGGGCAGTGAGATTTTTCATTTACGGCATCCTCCCAAGTGCTTACATCTGTTCACTTCAAATTTCAGCTTTATGCAGCATTGAAATATCAGAGAATGGTCTGGGTTGGAAGGGACCTCAAGGATCATGAATCTCCAACCCCCCTGCCACATACAGGGCCACCAGTGTTTAATACTCGATCAGGCTGCCCAGGGCCCCGTACAACCTGGCCTTGAACACCTCTGGGAATGGACAGGGCATCCACAACCTCTCTGGGCAGCCTGTTCCAGCACCTCACCACTCTCTCTGTAAAGAATTTCCCCCGACAACCAACCTAATCTCCCCTCCCTCAACTTAAAACCATTTCCCCTTGTCCTGCAGTTATCTACCCTTTCTAAGAGTTGACTTCCCTCCTGTTTGTAGGCTCCCTTTAGGTACTGAAAGGCTGCAATGAGGTCACCCCACAGCCTTTTTCTCCAGGCTGAACAAGCCCAGCTTGTTGAAGTAGTGGAGGTCTTAAAACTATTGTTTTTAGAAAATAAATTGAGGTGAAAAAAGGCTTGAATTGATACCTGTTTGCAGATAAAGGAGCAGTGTGAGTACAACCATGTTACAAGACATAAAGGAATCCATATGAGACAAGATTATATAAGTGGTTTTATAATCCCAGTGTGCAAGGGAGCACTTGATTTTCGTGTTCATTTAGCTTGTGATCAAGGTTGATTGTGAAGGAAGGACAAATCATGGATCTGAGGAAACTGCTTTTCTTTGGATTTGTTATCAATGGTTACTTTTCACACCTGATGAGACAGATATGGCATAACTTCTGCTGCAAGGAACACTTTGTCTATTTAGCAGGCAAATCTATAGAACTAGACGGTAAATGTAAATACAGCTGTCAGTAGAAGATATTACCTCTTCTTAAGAATTGTGAAACTGTATTAGCTCTCTTGTCAGTGTGTTAAATATTTGTTACATGTTCCATGTGCAGCCAGAGCTCTACATTGTGTGTGTTAGGTGGGAAGTGAACAGAAAGTATAGTTGATTTGCAGTACAAAAACAAGTGCTTAAGTAGTAGTGCTAATAGGGATTAATGCTACTACTTAGTACTTAATGGAATCACTGCTACTTCTGTTAGTAGTTTCTGTACTGAATGTTAATGCTATAGGTGATCTGTGTTAACTGGTTTGGAGTAGGTAAAAACTGTTATGTTGTTTCCTGAAACCAGAACTTTTATGGTCTGTTCTGATAAGAGTAGAGAAGAAACGGGTCAGCCTTGAGTGAACTATGAGGAAATTGCTTCAGATAATTGTAAAGGTCAGTGTAGGCAAGGTATATTTTCTTACAGTGAAATAGAATCTTCTCCTAGTGAGGACATTACCATTTATTGCTAGCTATGGGCTGTTGCTGTAACAGCATTTTTATAGCCTGCTGTGAGTCATGCTAAACTACAGCTCAACTTAATATTTTATCTATCACAGTATGTTGTTCTGTGTTCCTTATTGCAGTCTTTGAAATGTCTTGTCTTAGAGAATACAGTTGCAACTCACGGGTAATGTCTTTAATACTTTTTTTGTCTGACTCCCATTATCACAGTTGTTTCTCAACCTATTTCAAACACAAATATTTTTGTTACAGCAATGATTAAAGTTTACTGCGTGGGGTTGGAATGCAGCCTTGACAGCTGGTTGTGATCAATGCAGAAAGCTGCAAAACTTGGTTTGCCTGATAAATAGTACAGAAGTAGCCATATGCTCTTTAATTTTAGAGCAGTTGAACAAAAAAACTGTTTCCAGACAAACATCTGATTGCCAAGCAAGATCATAGCAAGAGAAAGGGGAGCTCCAGTAAAATTAGAGAGATTTCTTGTTTTCTTCAGAAATAAAGTTTTAATGTGAGCCACTGTCACACTGAAACTGCAGTGAGGTAAAGAAGCTTAAGTACAATGCATTGTGGTAAGGACTCCTACTACAAAAGAAAAAAGCAAACCCACCCCAAGCAGTAAGAGAGAAGCTTCAGGAACCAAAAGCAAGAATTAGTATAAAATCAATGTAATGCTGCATACCTGCAAGTCAATTCTAGATTGACTCATTTCTCTCCCTGAATCTTGATAATTATTGCTTCATTTGAAACACTTTTTCTGCTATGTTGGTGTTTCTCTTGCTTTTGAGAGTGTTTCTGTATGATTACGGAGATTTTGATTCTTGGGAACCAAATGGGTTAAGGACTGTTGTAGAGAGTTTGATTCATGGGAACACAAGGATTAAAAACAGTTGTAGCAGTCTTCCAGAGCTTTTTCATTTCTTACAAGATAAAGCAAAGATTCTCTTGTACTAAGAGACAAAGAAAATGTTAGGTTAAGTGAGAATAATGGGACTAGAGATTATAGCAGGTTAGAAAAAGATACAAAGAATAAATGCAATTGACAGAGTAGTTTCAGGAGTTCAAAAGGACTTTGTGTTTTTAGCACTGCTTTTGGTCAGCTTGCTAGTGAATTTTTAAGTATATGTGAAAACTGTGTAAAAGGAAAATGTATCATTTCTTTAGGTAAATGCTTTCATTACTGACTTGGATTTGTTTTTAAGTGTACTCACCAGTCCCTCTGTTAATATTTAGCGTTTGTATGCTTTTGTGTTCCTAACTATTCGCTATTACTGTCTAAGCATCTTAAACTTTGGAGTTTGTGGTGAATGAGGGAACTTATATGCTATGCATACAGTGTTTCTCAATATCTTCAACTCTGTTGATGTGCATAGATAACTACTTATTAATTCTGTCATTAAGTTGCATTTCAAAAACCAAGAATCTTGCTTTTAAACATCCTGTATAAAACTTACAGGCAGTCCTCCATGTTAATCCATTGCCATCCTACTGATGTCTTTCCAAAGGAGAGCCTACTGATGGAAGTTCTGTAGGGCGGACTGGCAAGGATTTGGATCTCAGCAGAAATACAACAGCATTTGTAGAATAGACAATCAGAGTACATTGCCTAAATGACTTAAATGATCTTACGTAAGATTGTTAATAGTTTTTTTTTAAGATTCATTTGTTGTTGTTTTTGTTTTTGTTTTTTTTTCCTCTTGGAAAATATAGGCATTTCAGTAGGACTATGGAGGAGCTGGTTCATGATTTAGTCTCAGCACTGGAAGAAAGTTCAGAGCAAGCCAGAGGAGGTTTTGCTGATACTGGAGATCATTCTCGAAGTGTCTCTTGTCTTCTGAAGCGGCAGGCAAGAAAAAGGAGGGGACGAAAAAGGCGTTCATTTACCACTCATCATCCCTGGGAGACTGGTCACTGTTTAAGTGAAGGTTCAGATTCCAGTTTAGAAGAATCAAGCAAAGATTACAGGGAGAATCATACTAACAAGAAAGACCACAGTGACTCTGATGACCAGTTGTTGATTGCTAAACGCAGGCCTTCCTCAAACTTAAATAACATTAGAGGCAAAAGACCTCTATGGCATGAGCCAGATCTGGCTGTGGACAATTTAGGAAACAGAACTTTGCGCAGGAGAAGAAAAGTGAAACGGATGGCAATTGATCTGCCGTCAGAAGTTTCTAATGCACTGACAATAACTCAACAGCAGGATAACAGAGATCAAGAAATGGATAATGACAATAAATCACACCAACATCAGGAGTTTTCGAAGAGCAAAGTGAAAAAGAGAAAAGTAGCTGCAGTTCGACAAGGACCGGAAATCTTGGATGAAGGAGTAGTAATAGAAAATGAAGAAATGAACCAAGCAAATAAGGACAAAATGGAGTATGAGGAGCAAAAGGGCTCAGATGAGAACATGAGTGACAGGTTATTTTTTTTTCTTTTTACAGAAACTTTAGATAATATTTGTTTGCTTATGTTTCTATTACTAATATTGGAAATATTTGTGCTTTTTTCCTTTCGTTTCAGAGTTAAATTGCTAGTACAAGTGGCATCTGTTTAACAATCTTCTAGGATTGCTGATGTTTTTTGTTTTCTTGTTTTTTTTTTGACATAAGTTTGCAGTTCTTTAATACAAACTAAGCTGAATTGATCAGGTTAATGGAATCCAGCATAAAATAGCCAGGTAGCAGAGGAGTAACAAAGTAATAGTACGTCATAATTGTTTCAAGAATGACAGAATATAGAAACAATCCTGTTTGTTGTGGGTTTTTTTCCTGAGTATTTCAACTGGAAACAGTTCTCATACACTCTCACAGGCAAAAATTAAGATTTTCCTAATTTCTAGACACTTTTGCTTTGGCTATCTCTTCTTCAGAAAGGCTGTCAGTATTTAGGTTTATCTTTTAGACAGTATGTTCTTCTGTGTCACGGGCATAAAAAGTCTGCAGCTTCTTGCTAAGGATATACATCATTTATGAAATGCATAAACCAATTTACAGTTCAGAAACACCTGAGCTTGCCATTAGAAAAATGGGGGAATGATGACCCTTTGACAGTACTCCTCATCCATCCATTCCAGACAGCAGGCATACTACAATGGTAATTGTTTTGGAAGTACTATTTTGACAACACAGTAAGGTGTGAGTCATTTTTCCACCTTACACAAGGGACTTTACCTGCAGGGCCTGATAAGCCTGATTATGTTCATCCCGTGTGTCTGCTTCTCAGTACAGAACTGTCAACAAGAAAGACTCCTATTAGAACGCATAACTTTGATCTAATGTGTGACAGAACTACTGTCTCTAGTTGTGTTTTTGTTGCTTGTTTGTTTTGTTTTTTTTTCCCCTCTGGGCATTTTGTTTACAAAATGTTGAACAGATTGGTTACAGTATAATGGCAGTATTGATAAGTGTCTAATTCCAATTATTGTCTGAAAAGTTATTTGAATTGCTTATACATGCTGGCATTGTCTCACACCAGCAGATCATAAGCAGTTGAAAAAGTAATGTGAATCTTTACTTCTAGATAGTGTTCCTTATGTCTCAGTTATTAGAACAGAAGCAGTACTACTTGGCAGCCAGTTTAGCTTCAGACATCTCACTTCTACATTGAAGTCAGAGGTATTGCCTCATCAGGGAGCCTTTAGAACACTTCCCTCTCTGATACAGGGAATTTGCCTCCCTCAGGGTCAGTACCTGAAGACCAATGATTAGAAATCTTCCTAGGAGCTGGGAACCGCTGCATGTTTCATCCTATGTGCATATGTCACATCTTTTAAATTTTATTTTTAAAGTATTTTCTTACTGTTGATTCCTACTTCTTTTTCTTTGAAGTTCAGGGCTCAGTTTTCTGGCTCTCAATGCCGGTATCTAAGTGATTCTGGAGATGAATCCTGTGCAGTTGGTTCTGAGCACTAGGAATGAAATTTCTGATCAGAGCCTGTCTTCCTTTTCCCTTTATCGTTAATGTCAATTTCAGACAAATTTGGTGATAGATGGAGTTCTGGAAGATATTTTAATTCTAATTAAGCTTTTGGTGGTTTTGTTTTTTGGTTGTTTTGTTTTTGTTTCTGGGTTTTTTTTGCTATTTAAGTCACTGAAAAGAGAGGAAGTCTGAATGTTGCTTTTGAAAATGAGAGCAGTTCAACTGAGTCCTTTAATGCAGGGGGTGCTTACCCAGCAGCATGCCAGTTGGTGCCCAGTGACCGCTCAGTGTTGGGGGCAGGATTAATTAGTAATCACTAGGCAAGGGGACAGTTTGCTATTAAGAAAATTGTTTCCTTTTCTTTATTTCCACAAATGTGTAGATAAAGCTGTGAAAGCTTCTTCAGTATCAAAAGTGTTCCTGCAAAGTTTTTGCTTGCTATTTTTCATTGCTGAAGGGAATCTGTAACTTTTTGTTCATCGACTGCTACGTTGTAATTTTCTCAGGTGGAGTTCCTGCCCTGTCTAACTGCAGCATGAGAATAATGAACACTGTTTGCTGTTGGATATGTTAGTGTTGTATTGTTTGTGATTTGATGGTTTTTGTTTCTATTTATTTTTAAACAAATGAGAGGGAAAAAGTAAACTGGCTGGTCCTTCAGTAAGAATAATTGCACAATGAAAATGTTGTATTAAAACAAACGAACTGTTCCCAGAGCAGGGAATAACAGGAAAATTTGGTGGGGAAAAATGAAAGAAATACTGAGGCTGCAAAGATTTCCTACCTTTCGTTGTAACTGTAGTAAGTGGACTGGAAGGATCCGTGTAAAGGAAGTGTTTTTTCTTTAGAGAGATGTGTGATGTAAAACTGTACACGCTATGTGTAAGGCTAGTCAAGCTGTCTGTGCAGTGATTAAATTGGTTATGATTGTTAGAGAAAAGTTACTAGCACTCACAGCATCAGAAGGCTTAAGTCTTGGTCTCCTTCATGAAAGATAGTTTCAATATCATCACTTGTAATGTCACCTTTCTTCTGCTTAGGACAACTGTGCAAATTAAGCACTTGAGTCTCTTTTGTGTATATTATATAGAAGATGTATGTGTAAGTTTTGCTAATGTAGTAAGAATATATGTAAGCAGAACATGCAACAATGATTAGGAGAACTTCCATCTTCAAAGTTACGTACGTGAGAACAGAACAAGAAACATCATATTGCTTATTGGCTCCTGATACCATATTGTTTCACATTGTTGGAATGTTTTCTGGTGAGTAGAGGTGTAAAAAGAACTTGTGCTTTGTTTACACACATAGCTTGTGTGTAGTGTTGAGTAACTGCAGTATTTGCAGCTTTAATTGGAATATATGGTAAATTGATTATTTGTTTTGCCCAAATTGCTTTATGTTTCACTGTAAGTAAAACATCATTAACTTTTGCTGAGATTACTTCCTGCTCTAGTCAACAGAAAGTAAATAAGTGATTTAGAGAAATCCCTTGTAGGTGAAACTCAACAAATCGTAATCTGTATTATTAAAAGGAAAGAGAATATTGTAAGTTTTTAGAGATGTATGGAGTATTTTTTTTTTTAATTTTTTTTTTTTTTGCAATATGTGTACAGTAAAGTATGAAGTACATTGCTTCTGTTGGTTTTGGTGGTTTTTTTTTTTGTTTTTTTTTTTTTTGTTTGTTTTAGAGAGAACTTGCATGCGTGTTGTATGCAGGCATTCTGATTTTAATGTTCTGACAGAAATTGTGGAGGAGTCATCTGTACCTTGTTTCCTTTTGTGTTTTTTTCTTGTGAACATTTGGTGGTGTTACAACCATTGACCGTACTTTCTCAAGGTAACTTTTATTTTTATATATTTTGCTACTGGTGCTGTCAATTTTTTTTCTTTCTCAGTGAGACAATAATATATTGTGAATCCCTAAGCAATGCATTTTTCAGATGATTTGCCAGTGATATTTAGAAAGATAATTTGTAATTTTTCAGATTCCTGCAGTTCACATGCTGAAGGAAGGCGTAGGTTGCTTTTGGTTGAGATTTTTCCTATTTTATTGAGCAGTGGTTTTCCAGAATCAAGCTGAATTGCGTAGCATAAGAAAGGAGCAGTGAACATTTGATGGAAGCACATAATAAAATGCATCAATTGTGTCAGCACCTCGTAGCAGTCACATCTGGCCTACTGTCAGGGTACCATTAGATTCCTGTGGTTTTATGTGCCAAAAATAATACTCTGTAGTTAATGGAACTAGGATATTTGCAGTTTGATTAAAAATAATAATAATAAAATCCTATTTTCTTTCTGATCTTTGTTGTGCTTAATTTCCATCTGAGCACAGCCCTGTCTCCTTAACATTTTACGACTGAAAGATCAATTGTTCTTTTGATCTTTTTCTTTCTTTCTCTTATTACAGTGAATCCAGCAGTCTGAGCAGCAGTGATGCTGGTTTGTTTACCAATGATGAGGGAAGACAAGGTATTGAAACAATCTTTCCTTTCACCCCTCAAACAACCTCAGTTGAAATTCCTTTAAGTGTTACAAGTTATTTCATGAGTTAATTACTGTTTGAATTGCTATTACTGTTTTAATGAGCTGAAATAGAGCTTTCGTTCAGGGATTTTGAAATGTTATGAGAGGGCATCCCAAACCCGTGACTTAATTTTAAAGAATTGAAATATCAAAAATATAGATAACATAAAAATATTTTGAAGATATTCTAATTATTTAAACTATTTTTTAATTCTTTCAGCGCTCCACTTTTCTGACAAGACAATGTGATCATAATGCTGCCTTTCAGGCTGTTTTTGATGTGGCTTGTTCTTTTTTTCCCCATGTTCATGTTTGTGTTTTGTTCTAGAGATGACAATTACTAAACCACCACTCAATTTTATCAGTCTGACTGACAACAGATGTACCCTGTTTTAAGCCTCTCCTCTCTGAAGAACTTGCATTTAAATTAAAATGCAGTAAAGATTTAAAATTTCTTTTAATATACATGATCACATTATTATCTGATATAACTATTGAGGATAATGGTCTAATATTTTGTTTTTTCTTCAAGTTTTCAAGTTCAGTTTTCCCTGCGCTATTCTAAGTGCGACTCATTTAACCTTCACAGTGCCAGCATATTTGCCAAACTCACAGTTTAGGAGCCTGCAGTTTTTGACAATATAAAAAGATAAAGCAAAAAGAGTCGCTCAGGTAACGAAGACTTGCTGTGTTATTGATTCTAAGTGGGTGGTATTGGAAACTACTGGGTCTGCCTCTTGTTTTGTTACATTAGCCCACAATGCCAGAGGTGGATGTTGGTGGTGTGGCAATAGAATTTGAACCTTCCCACCAGTATCCCATTTTATGTTGTTGCCGTGAGACAGATGGCAGTAGAGGGGCAATCTGACAAAATGGTGTCTGACATGGAAGTGCAAATGAAGCAAAGAGGTGGAATTGAATTCTTCCATGCAGAAAATATTGCATCCATTGACATTCATCAATATTTGCTGAATGAAGACCGAACAGTGAATGTGAGCACACTGAGGCAGTGGGTGGTGGTGGTGACAGCGACATGAAATATAAGCTATGTTCTGGATGGTCATGCAGATTTTTACAAGCACAGCATGCAGGCTCTTGGTGGTGGTGTCTGTGCTAAAAAAACGGTGTTTTGTAGCTCTATCAAGTAGTGTTATTGTGTTCTTCGTATCTGTTGTAGTTTCCATGGAAATAAATAGGAAGCATTACTTCTGGAGTGACCTATATGTTTTCTTGTGTTCTTCTGCAGACTACTTGATTTTGTGCAAGAAAATAAAAGCTGGCATATTCTGTGGTAGTGCTTTGTAGTAGCTTCCCATCCATTGGTACCCCCAGGTCTTTTTCAGCAGTGCTGTGCTCAGTCCTTTCATCCCCCAGTTTGTATTGGTAATAGGGGTTGCTTTGACCATGTGCAAGATTTTGCATTTGGATTTGTTCATCTGGGCCTACTGCTCAAACCTGTCTAGGTCCCTCCAGATGACATCCTATTTTTCTGGTGTGTTGACCACACCCCACAGCTTGGTGTCATCAAAATAGATATTCTGAATAACGTGAATTCTACCTGAAATGTCTTCAAACATAACTACTATTTGGTCCTGTGAATCCCTTTCTATCTCTTGTTTTTCCCTTCCTCCATCTAAAAACTTCTGTTCTCTAGCCTTTACTAATTTTACTGCTAGTGGAGATCATTACATTTACTGCTAGAAGAGATCATAGGTCATCTGCAAGATACCAGTAAAGGACTTAATTTTCTGTTTTCTTGATATGCTTGTCCTGACAATCATTTGCATGCATTTTCTTCTGTGTTTGGAGAAGGATTTTTTCCATTCAACAAATTCTTATTTAGAGAAAGTGTGTTGAATTTTATTTTTCCCCAGACTTACGTTCTCATTACTTGTATTTTCCCATTATAGGAAGGAGTGGTAATGTCATTTCACACGAATGCTTTTTGTTCTTAAATTTGTGCATAAAATCTTGCCTTTGTGCCTTATGTCTTTCATAGTCCTGCCTAATTAAAAAAAAAAAAAAAAAAAAAAAATTGAAAAATGATATGCAGAAAGTTTGCTACTTCATGGAAGAGTTAAAATACATAAAATACATAGCACACCCTTCAAAATCTAACTTTGGGATATACGGCAAGTTTTTTTTTCTTGTCTTTGAAGATATTGTCTGGTGTTCCGTCAGCTACCCAGTTTAATAGAACATGTTTTAAAAACAAACAGCAATTTGTTTTAATTGCTGGTATTGTATACGAGGTATATGTAAGATCAGGTTTTCAGTCATCTCGCTTTTGCCTTTGACTCCACATATTTAAATACTACATCTAAATACATTTAAATAGTAAAGTGACCAGCTTTGTACTAGAATGCAGTGTAATGCTCAATCACATGGTATTGTCAGTTTTCATTTAAAATCAACTTTTTCAAAACTTATTTCTAAATGAACTTAATCAGATTAACTTCATTTAGTCACATCTGTTCATGATTGTTTTCCCCTCTTACTAGCCATACAAATCATGAAATTAAGCTAATTATATACCATTATCAGCTGCAAAGAACTAGTTTCACAGTTTTATACCTTTTAATTCCCTGCAGGAGATTAAAGCTTGTTTTTTGTTAATATGTAAAGTGCAGTAACTTAAATGGATTTCCCTGCAGTTATTGCCAAAGGATTAACTAGTTTATTATTGTTTTTCACTATTGTAAATTGGTTTTAAAACATTACATTTTATGTGCTTTCATTGATGGCAGCACTTGTCATGCTATTGAGAAACATTTTCCAAATAGAATTGCCATACACAAGTAATTGTTGTACAGCTATAAAGCAAAAGAAAGAATTGTCCTGTCAGTGTTTATGGATTATAACATCTGATTTTTATCTTCTCTGCTCCTCCCTGTTTTTTGGGGGCTTGGGTGTATGTCCCTACACAGGTGATGATGAGCAGAGTGATTGGTTTCATGAAAATGAATCTGGTGGAGCATGTGGAATAACAGGAGTCATTCCTTGGTGGGAACAAGAAGACTCTACAGAACTGGACAGAGAATTGCCTGACCCAGTCTTTGAAAGTATCTTAACTGGTACTTTCCCCCTCATGTCCCATTCAGGGAGGAGAGGTAAGTGACAATCATATGCAAACTGTAGAATCATTTGGATGCAATAGAAAAATGTCTGTAAAGGGAGTATGTTAAATATTGAGAACATTTTGGAGATGCCAGTTTGCTTTTTGAATTATGTCACTTTTGAGATCTCAGAAATAATCAGAAAACAGTCAATGGTTAGAAAAGTCAGTGTAGAACTTGGCTCATTTTCATAGCCTTTTTGTTGTTGTCTTGATGTTTGCACTGAGAATTAGTAAGTATTGCTTCACGGAATCCTTAGTAGAGTTCTTTGACCATTTGCTTTGCTTTATGGAAGGCTTTGTTGTTTGTAAAGAAGAATTAAGTGTTCACTTAGAGCAAGGATTGAGATTTATATACTTATTTAATTTTTACTTTAAAATATTTTAAACAACTGTGGATCTATTCTCATGGCCACATTGTTGCAGCGCTTGATTACCTTTATATATAGATACACTCTTTCAGGACTGAAGTTGTCAGACCTCACTTTGCTGCCACAGTTTTATCTTACCTTACCTTCTTTCACACCCAAATATAGATCTTTCGTATGAATGGTGGTCAAATTACCTTCAAACTATTTCTCTACACATTGAACAAACTGAAATCTTATGAGATTTGTTTTCCTGATGCTTGCAATTTTTTCAGTGGTCTTGGTCTCTGCATATTCACAGGATTTAATGCTTTTTAGTACTAACAATGTTGTAAGCAATGCAAAATCGGTTTCCTGTAGTTTGATATGTTCTGCTTATTTAGTCAGTTGGGCATAGAACCAGGATAGCACCTACAGAAAGACTTCATTTTCATTACAGCTTAGCCTTTTTTAACCGCTTCCTCTTCTGTGTTCTTTTTTTTCCTGTTAATACTCTGGCTGTATTAAAGGTATTTTTGTTTAACTAAAGGTAAATCAATAGATTATTATATAAAGGTAAATATTCTTCATTATATGGTATAGGAAATATGCATAAATGAATCTGTACTTTTTATTTGAAGGTTTCCAGAGCAGGTTTAGTCATCTTCATGGAATGCCAGCAAGAAACGCAAAAAAGGCTCCAGGAAACCAAAATGCATTGGTATGTCCTTTCATTGATACTAACATTTCTACAAGCCATTCTTATTGCCTTTTTGTTTGTAAGAGCATACTCCTCTCATTCTTGTTTCCTAATGTTGTGAACAGGTAATGGAAAGGTAAGACTTCTGTGTCACTGCTGTTTCTTTGCTTTAGACTCTCTCTATTACAGTTCTATTTTAATATAATATATCTGAGTGCTAAAATGGCAAAAACAATCCAAGATTGTCCCTCAGTGCTTATTTTGCGCTTTGTGTAGGAAAAGGTATTTTGCTTTTCTTACAATTAACAAAATTTTTAGTATATATATCTTAAGTGTGTATGAAAATATGTTTCTCTCCTCTAAGAAAATCAAACCCAATTCCTTTCAATTTTATCTGATACTGATGGCGTTCTAGGATGGGTATGTGGTAGTAGCAGAAATGTTAAGTCACGGCTTGAATCAGTGGTTGAGCACCTGGTGGGAAGGCAGGGCCAACCCAGGGGAGCTCAGGTGCATACAATACACCTGAGTGACAGGAAGAGATGGAGCTAGAAACCCCTTCATTTAAGGGTTGGCAGTAGAGGCAAGAGCATCTTGCTGGAGGTCCCTGTGTACCTGAGATCTTGTGAAGGTGAGCAGATTCTTTCCTTTGTGTCTCTGCTCATGACTGTTGCCTTTGAGCAAGTCCTCACTTGCTGATGCATAGTACTATTAGCTAGCTTTTTTCTAAACTAGGATTCTAATGAGTTTTTTACAATTTCTTTCTTTGGTGGAAGTCATGAAGAGAAGGAGTTGACTTCTTAACTTAAAATGTTAAAGTATGTTTACTGTAGCACAGTCTACTCCTTTCTTATCAGAAAAGTGATTGGAAGACAGGGAGAGATGTGAAAGACTATCATATCGGGCTATGTTTATTATTCACTGGTAAATACTGCAGCATTGACTTTCTTTGTTATTTGGGAACAGTACATGTTTTCAAATTCCAATTTGTCTTAACGAAAAAAGATAGTTCTGGGAAATGTAAGTTCCATTGCATATGCAAAGAATAAGATGGAACTGTTAGAAATGTAACTTTTTAAAAGAGAAGGTTTTTATAGCCATTGAAACCTCTATCCAATAATTGCCATTTGAAGCAGAATAAGATGCCTTAAAACCTTGGCCTGTGATCTCTGCTGTTAGTGGTCATGAATTAGATGAATGTTATCTAGTTCTTGGTTTCCTATCTACCTATTTTTATTTTTGGTTCAGTGCTTGCTTGAGCATATCTAGGATTTGTAGCCCATTTTCTAAGCTTATTGCAATTTCACTCTGATACTTTATAGGAGCTATTATAACTGATAGGTTAGCTTCATGGTATTGATGATACATGGCTTAACTACCCTAAAAACTGCCTTTTCCTCTAAATTGTAAAAAGGTGATTAAGTTTCAATTGAAGATATACTGTGAATGTATATATATGATAAAAGCCCCTAATGTTTATTTTCTTCTATGCTTTCTAGGTTATCCTTAGCCCATTTTGTCTTCCTGCCATGATATCTCATATATATAGATAGTATCATAGTCTGCTTTATAACAAATTCAAAAGCTGATCTACTAAAGACTGATAATTCAATTTCAGTTATTAAATATGTCATTTACATAGTGTTGTGAAACAAGGTTGACATCTGAATGTACATTCTAAACCACTATGTTTAGACAGGATAGCATATATAGAATGGATGTGCAGTTGCCTCTTCAGATGCAGAGTTTTCTGACCTCCCTAGCAACTATTTATGTTTGTGGGCACATCTGCTGCATCTGTCTTTGCAAGAGCTCATGTACTTCCTTTTAGGCAGTGATTGCTTCTTAAAGAAAATATTTTTAGATACTTCAATGACAAAAAGTAATTTAATACCTGTGACATGTGATAAAACAGAACAAGAAGTAATTACTGCTATTAGATGGTAACAGTGAAGAAGAGCAGCAATGCTTTTAGAGAGATTAATATCCTGAGGAGAGAACACTGCATACTCAACTCATTGAACAGAGTTGTGATGTGACTTCTTTCATTATTTTTTTTTAATAATGGTATCCCTTTTTGTAATCTCATGTCTCTATTGCTGCTTTTACACAGACTTTAAGGGACACACAGAAGAAAATGTATTTTCCTGCAAAGATACGTTTCCTAAAGTACACAGTTTATATTCAGTCTAAAGATGTGTTGTCTGTATCTGTGGAATGTGAGCATAGAGTTAGTGCTTTGTGAGACAGTATGTGTTTAGAACTTTTTTTTTTTTTTTTGCATGATTTAGTTAAAGGTTTGTGCATGTAGCAGCTTGAAAAGATTACTGGCTTTGAGAATGCAAAATGCAGAGGTAAGATAATACTTTGACAGATCGTCACCCTCTAGGAAAGATTTTAAATGCTCAACTGTTTACATGCTGTGAGAGAAACATCAGGCTAAATGTCTTCATGACGATTCGCTATGTCCCAAGGAAGATGACAACTTAATTTTCTCACCCTTATTTCTAGAAGTAGCAGGAATAGGGAGTCAGAGGAAATTACCTCTTTGCAGGTCTGGTAGTGATCTTTAATATGAAGTATCCACATCTGATGTTCAGATTCTGTCCAGATATTTTTCCTGCATTTCATTCAATGACTAGTTCTTTAAGCACACTCATAGAAACTTTCTATCACCAGTTTACTGCCTTTGAATCAGAACGCTTTTTTAATAACTGTGCAGCATTGCACAAACATCAGAAGTAAAACACAGAACAGTGTAACCAGGACAAATACTGTAGAAATCTCTACTTAATCTAATGTGCAGGTTGAGCGAGCAGGTAGTAGGCAGGTAAAAACATGAGCACAAAAATTTAAAATCTATATATTCATAAGAAATACTTATTTCCCTTGGATTGTTCATTGTACTTACCAAAGAAAGGTACAATTCTTAATGGACTCCATAAATTAAATAATTTATCAGGCATATATTTTGGCATGTATTTATGATACTGAGATTTCACATCTCTATTGCTTTGCATTATGGCAGTCTCATTTTTAACAGAACTTTCTTTGAAAAGAAAAAGTGTTACTTGTGTAATGCACTATACTTTTGATCCTGCCTGTGTCATATTTCTTGTAGCAGTTTTATAGTTCTAATCAGAAGCATGGTTGTTGCAGTTGGAAAGATTAGTGTAATGGGAAGGTGATACAAGAGTGAAATGGAAAAAAGGACAAATGAAAAGAATGCTTGCTTGTCTCTGAAGATCTAGGCTTGCAGGGAAAAACTCCACAAGGGATGGATTTCCAGTCAGAGATCCTTCCCCTGTGGCAATCAGCTCTAAAATGGGTTCTAGGAGAGGTGCAGCTAATTCCACCCCTTTTGGTCACACAGCTGAGTTGGCTTCACCTGTGCTCTGAGGGCTGACCCGGTCCTTTCCCCAAGTGCTCAATCAGTGATTCAGGCTGTGATTCAACTGTTCCCTTACAGTGGTAAGAGTACTTTTATACCATACTAATATTTAACAAACTCTTAACAACATTGTATTGTGTGAAATTACATTGTTTGCTTGAATTCTGCAGTTGTATATGATCTGGTTTACGCAGTTCCTTTACCAAAAATGGGCAAAGATGCTGCAGGGCTTTGTTTAAGATCTCTTACATGTTTCTTTTTTGCAGCTTTGATTCTTTATTTAGGCAAAAACCTGGGAAGTGATTTCTCTGGGTTACAGTGTAAAAAGCATAATCAATAAAAATGCTTTCTCTCAACTGCACAAATTTTTCCATCTTTTACTTACTATGAGTTTTGATTTTCATGATTCATAAGAAAACCTCCTCTTGAGTCTTTTGTTCTTAGGGATGTCTCTTTTTCTTTTAGCACAGTTGTACTATTGAGCTTAACAAAACGTAGTTGCAATTATTAAAAATTACATAAGGCATGAAAGCTATCGTCTATAGACCTGTTATTCAAGGTCTGGATTTTTGGGCTATTTCTGTCAAATCCTGCAACTTTGTTTCTTTCACACACATGTGCTTCACATACAGAATTCAGGTAACTACTACCATCTTAATTTGAAGAGAAGACATATGGAAAATTCTTCCTGCTTTCAAGATTAGAAATTCAATTTCTAAGTACTCAATAATTGAAGAAACAGCTAGATGTATTCAGGTGCTTTTTCTTAATATATTATTTTGGAAATTGAGTGAAGTGGTGTTATGTGACAAAAAAGTTTTTTTACAGATATCTTCTTTAAAGAGGGAACTGAGCACTGTTGTTACAGTATCATTCATAAGCCTCTTCATGAACGCTGTGCTGCAGCTCAGCTCTTGTCTCCTTCAAAGCTGCTGCAGTTCATTAGCCAAACATGAGTTCAAATACCAGATGTATAGATTTCAACCGAACAACGGAGAGTCAGTTTTGTTGTTATTTCTGTTGCTTAAGCATGTACCCCCTTCTACCATAATTAAGATAAACAGAAATCCTCAGCTAGCTGGAAATAGTTTGAAGGGCACCAACTAGTGATGGTGAGCATCTGTTTCTTTTCATCTTTTCTTAGATTTCTTTCAGACTGTTAGTTGGAATGACATTTTTTTAACAAATCAATAATTAGATTTCTCAACATGCGTGGAAAAAGTGTACTTCTTAATCTTTAACTATAAGCCATCCTTGATACTTACAATCTGTCTTCTACGCCTTCATAAGTAAGAAGGAGCTGAAGCAACTGGTAGCCTAGCTACTGCTTCTTTCTTGTCTCTTCCTGCATCAGTACAGAAGGCAAATATTTAGAAAATCCCAAAATCTCTAGTTGAAAACTAAAAATACAAGTAAACTGGAATGGCTTGTTCCAACAGTCCTTGAAAGACAAACTCTTAAGGAACATGACATTTTCTTAACAGATGTCTTTCTTGCCTTTACTACTAATGCTGTTCATATGTTCTTTGTATGTCTAAAATTTCCAGCACTCCATTTTTTTGTTTTATCTCAAACTGTGGTTGAACTATGATTTTGCAATGAGTTGGAAAATAAAATGTGATTATAACTC